CATCCTTACTGCTTCACCTCATAAAAGCCACACAGCATCCTGTAACGCTGATGGCACTGGACAAACAGTAAGTCAGGAGAAATCACCAATTATGAGCAGGGGTTAAAGGCTAAAGTACCCATCAGGCCTTGCCTTTGGGTGATGCTGGACTCTTGTCTCCCCTCTCTTCAGACATGGCAGTGGGTTTCCTCTGCTCTCTGTACGGTGAGTTAACATTTCTGTTGCTGGGAGCATCTCTGCACGTTGGATGCTCATTTGCTACTTAAAGGGCCCCGCTGCTCCCTTTTCACGGCCCTGTAAGAATAATTTAGTGCAGGAGGCCCAAGATCACTGGAGATTATGGCCATGAAAGGGGAAAAGAACGCGTTATTAATGCTTGTGTAACTATTACATCCCGGTTACATTCTGTGTAATTATTACATCCCGGTTACATTCTGTATAATTATTATACCCCGGTTACACTTGCTCACCAGAAAACAGGGGAACAAGAAAGGAATCCCCAACAGGCCTGTGTTCACTGTAACGCACAGCTCGGCCTGGGAAACCAGGACACCCTCACCTCATGATGATGATGCTGCAATGATAGTGAAGGACACTGAGATGCACTGCATGTCCCCACTGGAACATTGCAGCAATGCATAAAGAGAGGAACCAGATTTAGGTCACTATAAACCTAATGTTTAGCCCCAGCGAGTATCATAGGAAGAGTAAGGTGAAACCTGAAGATCACAGGGAGAAAAGTAGCTACAGAATCAATATAAAATCATTTATAGTATAAATATAGTGTAAACACCAATCTTCAACCTTGTTTTTAGTGACTGTACCAACAAAATGGTAATAAATGTATTTGATTATTCTTTTCAGGGACACGTGCAACTAAAACATTGTCGCACTCGGTCAACTGATGCAGTGCACATGGGACATCAAGCTGAAAGCTAACTATATACTGTATGTTCATGGATGTATTAGTGAGCAGGCCTACCGTTTGCTGGCCCCTGGATTTACAAAGATGTAAAATGAGCAAAAAAACAGCCATGAAGAGATGCAAAATAAGCACAAAGTCACATAAAATGACCTCATACACAAATCCAAATAGAAAGAGAAGCAAAATATCTAAAAAGAAATGAAAAAAATGACCAAGAAATGCAAAACAAGTGGTCACTTCTAAAAACAGATGCAAAATGATTAAAAGAAAACACAAAATGACACAAAGCAACAAAATATAGGTGCATAGCAACTGCAAAGATGCAAAACCACTAACAAGAAACAAACCTCTCTTTCGGTCTGGGGGGTCTTGCTGCTGTGGAGGAGGGTGGGGGCCCAGTGTCTCATAATCCGGCCATGTATATATGAAAGACAACTGATAAGCTGCCGACCAAGATGAGGATTGTATTTGCAGCAAAAATCATATGAGAATATCATAAGACCAGAATGAAGTTTTATAAAACCCTGATGAAGGACAATAGAGCCAGTAAACAGATAATTATTCTATCATTGTCTAGACAAATAGAACATAAACACATTGAAACCACAGAGCGCACAGAGGGTTAGGGTTAGCTTGAGAAACCAAAGTGCCATTTTACTATCGTCCTGCCACTGTAACAACACTGAGACTGCGTTTTATTTTGCAAGGGCCCTTGCCGGGTCCCAGACCTCAGTTTGGGAACCGCTGATAAGGCTTCAGCTCCTCAGACGCAGGCTAAGACTCACTGTTGTCGCCCTGTTTGTACACGCGACTAACACCATGTGCCACTGCAGCAGGTTGACAGTGCAACAGGGTGCCAAGGAAACCCTAGTCAGAAACTGGTCTCTGAGTTCCAGCACCGTACGTTACCTGTAAGACCAGTAACATGACAGACAGGTCAGCCACAGCAGCTTTGACAGGCACTGAAAGAAACAGGCAGGACCTGTCTCATTGTATAGACACATCTGTACCAGGGGAAGAGTGAGCTTCCACCAGCAAGTCTTGGGGGTCAGGGGTATGTCACTCATACATACCTTTGGTGAAGAAGCAGTAAAAGAGCTGAATTCTTCCTTATTCCACAGAGCTTCTAAAACAGCCTGAATAAAAATAATGGTGTCTAAGGTGTCCCTTAGAAGTGGCGATCCATAAGTCGACTGCGGCGATATTTCAAACAGCCTGTTGTCCTCGGTTTGTATCACAGGTGTCTTTATTCATTCAGCCTGTTTAAATGAAGAAAAGTCCTGATTGTGCTCGTTGGTATCAGTGTGTGAACCACACAAGAGAAAGAAAAGAAGATTTATCTGAGGAGTTAAGGAGGAAAATAATCACTAGGCATGGTCAATGTTCGGGCTACAGAGCATCTCCAAGCAGCTTAATGCACAGCTGCAAATACTGTATAGAGGGTAAAGGTCCATGGGGGGGGGTAGCAGTGAGAGGACAGCTGAGCCCAGACTGAGTTTGAATGTTGGAGGAAGAACGGAGCTGAGCTCCAACATCAAGGCCTGCTGAGTCCTGACAGATGGGAGAAGGTTCCCATCAGACCTGGGAGGCCTGGAGCCGTTTGCTGAAGCCACACTGCCTGATGAGAAGCTTTGACCCAGGCAAGTTTCATGTCAATTCATCTTGTAGTTGTTGAGACAGTTCACCATAAACACAAACATCCAACTCGTGGTGGCACAAGAGGAAAAGTCCAATGCTCATCGCCACCAGTAGGACTCGGTTACTGGGACCCATGATTGTCTGAACCAAATAAATATCAGGGGTGGACAGTAACTAAGTACTTTGAGCATACTTTGAGGTATTCACAAGACACAACAGCATGTGCTGTAATTTATATTCATTTACAGTATATTATAGCTATTAGATTTTAAACATATAATCACCAAAGTATCATATAAAGTAGCTACAGTTCACTCCACATTCACCGACTGCAATGCACCAATAATTATAATCCAGTAATATGATGTGCAGCAATGTGAAAAGATTTGCTTATTCATTTTGATGGTAATACTTATGCACTGTCACTTAAGTAACAGTTTGAATGCAGGACCTTTACTTGTAACAGAGTATTTTACACTGCGGTACTGCTACTTTTACTTAAAGATACAAGTACTTCTACCACCACTGTCGAACATCATGACACTCCATCTACTAGCTTAGATACGCGGCATAAATGTGCACATGCTCCAGTAGCTCTTCTTAGTCTTCTTAGTGGGAACGGCCCCCCCCCCGCCAGGCTGCTGTTAGTCCAGCTACACCTGGCTGTAGAGCATGGGGGGATGGGGGTCCCATTCCTGAATACATGTAGGGCCCCTTTAAAGATCTGAGTGTCCGGCCCCGCTGCTGACCTCCGACCCCGGCAGAAGAAAAGTTACTGGACCTTCCTTAAGATGACCAGCGAAGGGGCAGAGGTGGGGGGCGTGGCCTAATGGAGACAGAGGATGGCTCAACAGGGTCAGAGCAGAGGACGGGGGAGGTGTTTGTGTGTGTGCTGGGGGCTGTCACAGAAGTTTCCTTTGAGCCCCCCCGTCTACAGTCTACTACTGTGTCCCTGCCGACATTGTGCCTGAGCTGCAGCAGGACAAAGGCTAAACAATGATTGGCTCCTTTTGTTTCTCGGCTTGCCTTTCTTCCTCAGCCCTCCATCACAATCTACTGGCCTCCTTTGTATTGATTTTCCTCATTCAGTGGCCTGTCGGCCTCTTTCCGCTGCTTTATATGCTCTTTTCTGGCTTTTGTCCTCCCCCTCCTCTGCTGAAGCCTCCATCCTCTGGCATTCTCAGCAGTGTGAAAACACAGCGCACCCCTTCACTGGATGCAACTCATTAAAGATTCCTAATTGATGAAGAGTGTAATTAGTTTGACAATCGGAAGGGGAAATCAATATGTTTTTAGCCAAAAGAGCCACACGAGGGAGGACAAGATGGAAGAGGAGAACTGTATGTTCAGGCAACAGCAGCATCACTTTCACTGGAAGATACAAAAGAAGAGAAATGAAGCTTCAGGAAAAGCAATTTTTGGTTTTGTCTGGTTTAATGCTCGACTCAGGCGACTTGTTAGAGCTGCATCACCTGGGAGAAAACATCTTGTTAGGCTATCGATTAAACACGCACACAGGAGACCTGGTGTTCTTGTTTATATCAATCTTTAAAATCAATAATAAATACTTGTAAGTATAAGAAATTAATAAACACACTCCAGAGTGACCTACAGTCGATGGCTCTGACCAAATAAAGAAAAAAGGAATGAATAACACGATTCTGGGTTCAGAGGCTTTGACCTTTGACCTTGTAGCTCAAATGTTCATGCTGATAAAGAAATTCAAGTTTCATTATGTACTCAGTGCAGGAGCCAAGTATACAACGCACTGCATCAACATGTGTTTGAACACTGAAACGTATCACATAACTAACTTCACTTACGTCGTTCATTTTATTACAGGAGAGATTCAGTGTTTGTCACTTTAAGACAAACCTCCAAGAGACGGGCTGGAGGATCAGACTTGGTTTGAGAATCAGTCACTTAATTGTGATAATCAAGGTCATGATTATGAATGCATCAAGTAACATGTGCCAAGTCTGGTGCTGTGCGTCCGCAGAGCTTCACATCAGGTCACCTGCCTGTGGTAAAAACAGGAAAGGTGTCCATGTAAGATGCAGGGAATTATAATTTAGCGCTATAAAGAGCCAAGTGACCACTACTCTGCACTTTGACAGTCATCACATTATGATTACGCAGCTGTAAAACTGCTTTTGCGATTTCACATCAAGTTACTGTAATAGACTGCCCCAATTGTCAGTTATCAAAACCACCTGGAAAAATGTCTTTATCCATTTCATGTCCTTTTACAAAGAAGAAGCATCCTGAACACTAGAGCCTGATAAATCACCTGCTGCACCTATTTGCTTTATCTGCCTCCATAGTCATCTTAATTTGGTACTTGAGTCCAAATACAAGTTCAGAAATCTACGAGTCACTGTGCATGTAGTGACAGAGCGATAGGACGAACATGTCGGACAGACAACAATACAGCTCGTTCCTTTGCCCCAGGACAAACTTTCCACCAAATTTTATTGAAACCTGTCGTCTGGATTTTGGAGTCGCCAGAATCAACAATCGAACAAATACAAGTGCAAACACAATGAGTTCACTGTGGTTTTCGGCTGCTGGTCAGATTTCCAACTGGTTATGAAAATTTATGAAGAAATGACTGGATCTTTAATTAGCTAACGTCCAAACCAGTCATTCACCACAAGGGGAGACTCGAGGGACCACACCCAGCGTCTTATCTCTGGCTCACTGCTGTGGTGAACCTGTTCCTGAGGCGGTGTTCTGATTAGCCGCAGAGGCTGAGAGCTCTGTCTCTCTCCTCTTCTGTGCCGTTAGTCTACCCCCTGCTGGTGAGGAGGGGCACCCGGAGTCCTGTTGGGCGTCTAGCTGGGAGAGGAGGAGGTCCACGCTCTTAACGAGAACCGAATCCAGGACCTTCTGCTCCTGTGAGGAGAACCGGCCCAGAATGTATTGCTCCACGGATGATTTCTCTACCGGTCGGCCAATCCCGACCCGAAGTCTGGGCATCACCTGCAGGAGAGACAAGAGGACGAGATGATGCTGCTGGTCTATGGACACACTCGTGATCTGGCTTCAGTCAAAAGACACAACTCTTTATTTTTTGCTTCAGGATTTCAATGGCAAATTTCTGCAGCAAGCACGTCTAAATATTGTTCTAAACATCTGTCTCATCAACGTTGTGACATTTCAGTCATCCAGTGCAGATAAACACTATATGATCCGGCTGCATTTTAGAATGTATGAATATGTATGCAGTATACACATATACATGTATATACTATGTATGCTGAGCATCTATGGCAGGAAAAACATTCAAATCAAGTTTAACTCTTGCACTAGAATAAGTCAGCAAAAAACTAAACATAACAAAATAAAACAGACAATAAAGTCCATATAATAAGAATAACATCAGACTAGAATATGTAGTGCTACTCTTAAAACAACTCCACAAACTTGCAATATTGTGAGCAGTTCCCGTGGGCTGTACTGACGCCAGTGGACACTTACATCAGTCTGCAGACAGTCCACACAGGAGCGGACGCCATTGTGTCCTCTGAAGAAGAAGCATTTGGGATCAAAGTTAAATTTGCCTCCTCAGTGTAACAGGTGGAATTTTCTTTTTACATTAAACATTCCATCACATCCACTCCTCTCATGTCAACCAGCTCATGCAATAACAAAACCTTGTAGTTAGGCCATTATTTAAAGAAGAAAACGAAAATGAGAAGAACTCAAGAACTAAAAAACGTATTTCTCTGCACAACACAAACTTTCAAGGTAGCATTCACTTCTTTTACTTTTCCACAGCTCAGACCGCTGCACTGAACCGAGGTCAGAGTCAACCTGGGATCACACAGACATGATGAACGAAACCGACCTGGCACTTCCTCCGTGTTTGATGGCAATTTTGCCCAGAGGCTTGTCCAGGTCATCATGGACCAGCAGAATGTCTTCGGGCCGGACGCCATATTTTTCAGCTGGAGAGGACAAACAGATTCTTCAGATCCCCAAGCTCTCAGGGTGGCATTACTCAACCGCAATAAATATCTAAATATTAACTGTGCAGGAATCACAGGTTCTGTGACGTCTTCACAACAGTTCAAACACTCAGAATATTCAGCTGCCAGAGCACTAAAAACTGAGAAACGCAGGAAACACTCTGACCTGAGGAATAACCAGAAAACACTGGAGCTTTTTGCTTTATTAAACAACTAAAATGAATAATGGGTTGTCAAAATTGTTGCTGATTAATCAATGATTTTGTCAGCTCAAATTTTCTATTCATTTTACTTATATAGCATATTGAAAAACAAGCGGCATAACAGCTTAGAGAACCTGACACTAACAAACTTCAGGAAAGTCTTAATTCACCCATTGTGATTCTCAGCTTTGCCTTAAACACACACACAGATGCTGTATGACGTCAGTGGGACTCTGCTGTTGTTGAATTTATTTAATTATCTGTCCCACAGAGCGTTTAAGGGTGACAAACAGAGGCATTAAACTGGTTTCCACAACATTTTTAACAAAGCAAATTAGTGAAGAGAGAGTTCAGAGCTGGAAATGATGTAAAGATAAAACTGGGAAGCAACAAAAGAGAGGATATGAGAGCAGAGTTTGTTCCTCAGCTCATTTCTGTTCATAAATGCACCGAACATCCTCACATGTTGCACGACACTGAAACACATGCAGCTTCTCGTCTCTCTCGCATAGCGGGCCCACCTGCTCTGGCCACCGACACCCCGTTGACGTTCATCAGCAGCCGGGGCCGCAGCAGCACCACACGTGTCTGTTGGACCTCTGACATGATGACCTCACCGGACACATGCTTGTCCTACTTTGCAATAGTTGATAAATACTGGACCAGGTGTATGAATGGGAAAGGAGGTACTAAAAGCTTTCTGTACCATAGTACCACCAGTCAATCCCCCACCTAACACACACACACACACACACACACACACACACACACACACAACATTAGAGGCTGCCAGCTGTGTAATGCAGCTGCTTGTTGTTCTGGTGCAGAAGTTCGACTCATTGTGCAAAGGTTTTAGATGCTAAAAGAAAAGTGAGGACATTTTCTGACAGGAGCTATTACAAAATACTCCTGTTCATTATATGACAATGTTTTTGTAGATGGGGTCCCTGGTGAAACACACAAAAGAGGAATGACATGGATGCTGAGGAGGCTGACACAAACACACTGACACAGCTGCTGCCTTGTACTGATGGTACTGATCCACTGACAGCAGTTCTGTTAACAAACACTATAGACTACATTGTGTTTGAGTCGGGCTGTATGACTGCTGTGTTCTGCCTGTACACACTGGGTATTTATTCATTTTGACTTGACCAGGACACAGTGAAAAGCCAATGACAAGGTCACCCTGTGGACGTCAGCTTACACAGTACAAGATGGAAAAGTATATGACGAGTTTAGTAAAAGCAGACAGTAATGCCACACGGGCCCACAGTGAACTAACAATTGTACGTACAATGCCTGTTTTGTGTTTTACAAATCATGCTTGTGGTCATACTTCTTGGACAAACTGGGAGTGATGACTGACAATGTGTCACTAAACCATTCAGTCACACTACAGCAGCAGCACTACTACTACAATGAAACCCTGTTTTACACAGACATACACAGAAGCAGCATCATTCAGTATCCAACACAACAGACATTTGGATAACAATTATACTGAATTGAAAAGTGGCTCAGCCAGAGTCAGAGGATGTTTTACCCTTAAATTATGGGATGGACGCTTTGACCAAACGTCAAAACAGCTCTAAATGGTCAGACCGTTGAATGGTGTTTGGTGCAGTGTCAAAACATGATTATTAACGCTCAGTAAACTTCTGCTAGCCAAAGCTAACAAACTATCCACAGAGCTACAGTGTAATGTTAGCAGATGTGGAAGATTTGAGGTTTTATACTTACCAGCTTCCGGCGGCCTTGACTGTGTATGTCTGCTTCAAAGCTCGTAACAGGTGTAAACGGCCCGTTCAGCAAAACCCGGTTTATGACTCTCGTTAAAAGTCGTCGCATTGTGACCAAGTTGAAAAGTTTCTTGATAAAGTGACAGAAAACAGCTAAAATTACTCACAGCTGTGACTTTCGTCATTCGGCTTATAAAGCAGATTATCTGCTCTTGTTTATCTGCCAAATTTCACACATTTTCACAGTAATTTATGACAACTTAATGAAACACTCTTTTTGAGAATACCCTGTATTCTTCTCTGTGATTCACTGTAACATAACGTGAACTTAATCTTCAGCCCCGCTGATCTGTATTTGTCTTCAGTTTATTAGCTACCTTATATTAGAAACTTTAAACAAACCTCTGGCTCTTCGGAGAAACGCAAAGTTTTTCTACATGATATTTCTTAGGTTTAGCAGGTAGTGCTATCTTGCTATGGTTAGCTTACTCTAACTTTACCTTGCTCTTACTCAGGACAAAATAAAAGCAGCCACATAAAAGAACCGTAAAACACGTTAGAAACACTGGCACCGTTGACACCAACATGTGATATCAGATAAACTTAAATGTTCATATTTTACACATTATTCTAGACGTTCAATTGAAGTAACCTTAGCTTGTCACGCCGCTTCATCAGTCAATGAGTGTTACAAAGACAAACCGAGGGAAGGGTGTACTGGGCTCCAGCGCCTTCTAGCGATGTCACTGAGTAATGCAGTTTATTTCACTGGAGATTATGGCCATGAAAGGGGAAAAGGACGCGTTGGAACTTTGAACACAGTATTATCTGAGCGGATAGGACACAGAGAACAACAATAAATGGGTGCAAATCAAAGTGTTTTAGTGCCCATGTGCTAATCGCGCCTGTGATTTGCAATTAACACATCTTCAACTAATGAGGAGTCATCAGCAAAACTGGCTATTAGTGTTTTTCAACCTTTTAGTGATCAATGTATAAAATAAAAAAACTGATTATGTTCTATTCTATATAAAAGATAACAATATGAGAATAATCAACACTGGATTAAACCAGTGGTTGTGTCTTATTTCAGTTTCATTTTGCTTGGAATTCTCTGTTGGAAAATACCTGTAATATTTTTTTTACAGTTTGGGTTTGAAAGGTGCTGTAGAAGTAAGGTGTACTACTAGTACTTAAAGGTCAGTGTAATGAAATGTCGATGCCACATCTTTAAGGTTGTTGAAGTAAATGTACTTCAACAGACTGAATAAAGACTGGTCTATAGTTTTGTATGTGGACAAACAGTACATGACAGCTCATGGGGCTGAGTCAGTGACAGTAACCAGCCTAAAATATCACAGGTAAAGGAAGTGAAAACAACAACAATAATCTCCTTGAAATGTTTAATTGAATTAAATTTGGACAACAGAGGGGTTTTTTTTTTCATTTTTTTTACATTTTACTTTCAACAGACTGATCATTAGGCTTGAGCTGGGGAGCAGGGAACAGGGTCAGGAACCGGCTGACATCTCTCCACCACAGCATTGATCTCGCCGACGCTAACGCCATCGTAGGTGCCTGTGATGTACGACCAGTGGGTCTCCCCCTTATGGTTGGTCCTGCTCAGCCGGCCAGTGAAAGGGATGTCAGCCTTCATCTTTCTGCCCTCCATCCTCACAGCACAAGAGTGGTTGGGTGGCACCAGCAGCTGCACAGAGACCTCGTGACTGATAGACTCCACCATGGTGGTCCCCTCTGAGAAGGTAACCAGCTGCTCCTTGCTGGTGAAGTCCACATTCCCCGGGGTGATGATGGGCACTTTGCCCTTCATGGTGGAGATCGTGCCATTGCGGGTCTCCCTGCCAATGTCCCAGGTCTTCTCCACCGTGCTGGTCTTCTCCAGCTTCACTGTCTTCTCCACATTTCTACACTCCAGGTTGGTGACCTTGGCAAGCTTCAGGGCCTCGGGGGGGTTGTGGAACAGCTTTATCTGGTCAATGGCGTACTCCACATGAGAGATGTGCTGGCTGTAGCTGTCTCTGTTGATTGCCAGGACCTGGTATTTCTTGTACCAATACTCTTTGCCCTCCCAGGGAAGGAAGAAGGCCTCGTGTTGGGTCACCACTTTGCCAAGACCATACTTGTTTTTCCCCACGTAGATGTCTGAGCTGGGGCAGGTTTTGATGGCGTACTGGGGGGCCGACCCATATGAACCTTCAGTCCACTCCAGGAACTCAAAGTGGTCCACGTTGACCAGCACCTCAAACTTGGAGGATGCGTACTCTCTGTCAGCGTAGGGGTACAGGCAGAAGTCACCTTTGCTGGGAGTGTAGAAGCCAGCCTCACAGTTGACTTTGCACACGTAGTCGGTGCGTTCAGTGTAGCCATTCCAGATGGCAACAGCGCCCTCTGGGAGGGCGCCATCCCATGTGACCCACTGGAGGTTGACATGTTCAGCAAACATTGGGAAGGAGTGTGAGCTTGTCTTGGTCTCTGGGATCACTCTCATTGTAGGAGGGCTGATGCCTTCCCGAGAAGGGACAACTTCCCCCAGTGTGGGGTTCAGCCATGGCTCTGCATGACAAGACAGAAAGAAATTAGCACTAGGTTGTGACCTGTAGATCAGAAAGTTCAAGATCAAAACAGGCAGACATACTAAAGCAGTGCATATGGGTGCAACACAAGCAACGCTGTTTGTGTACCTGCCTGTGTGTGTTCATGAGAACATCTTCCTTAAGAACTTCTAATTGTGGAAACCCTGATATACTTCCCTCTGGTTTATAGAGTCATTAACACCTTGTAGACACATATTTCTAAAGACATAAACAACTGACAGATTGAAGGAGGTATATTGAGACCTAAAGTTGGCTTGCCGACCATCATTGTAAATGAGTGATGTTTTTATGGTAATGGTCATGTGTACAGGGCTGGCGTCTCTTTCTTCAGAAAGGTGCATTGCTTTACAGTGTCTGACAGACCGTGTTAATGTGAAGTGACTCACTGCTGGGATTTTCTCGCCCGTCCTCCACCTGGGACACGTAGAGCAGCGGCTCAGCCTGCAGCGCTGGGCTGCAGAGCTGCAGCAGTGCCAGGACAACAGCAACACACCACCTCATCTGGACATGAGGGGACACACAATGGGCAGTCAGCGAGACTCAGTATCAGTTAGAATTTAATGTGAAGCAGAAATCACAGAAAGTAATAAACACTCAACATTGACCCCAATGATTCCCAGTATCTCATTAGTACATGACTCTAAAAGCTCACTCCGTTGTTAAAATGTGACTTTTGTGTTTATGTAAAGATGTTAGTGACGACAAAAGTTACAATCTGTTGATGATGTTTCAGTGGCTCCTGGCTCAGCGTGACAGTCAATAAAAATTAGATACTGCACAATAATCCTGCAAAAACAAGTGTAAAGATTTTGTGTTAAAAACTAATAAAGTCCCAGAGGTTAAGTTTCTGTCATTATCAGCAAGTGAAAAACACTTCTTAGTTGTAAATTCTGAGTTTATTTCAAATCCTCAGTCAAGAGGAACCGTGTTGTGCATCGAACTCAGCCCTCGTTTCTTCAGAAATATTGTTACAATTAGAATAAAGTCAGTGACCAAAATGCACGAAGGTGGAAAGATACAGTTCTGATATCTTACCACTTATTCTGCAATAAACATGGTGCAAAGATTAAATGTCTTTACACACAATATAAAAGAAGTTGCATTGCCTTGTGAAATTGAATAAGAAGAAAGAAAATCACCAGTATATCACAGCTGCCAGACGCACGATTAAGGAAGCTGTATTATTATTAATCATAGGATTTTAATAGCAGCCAAAATAAATGATTAGTAAACATCTTTTCTAGTAAAATTATAACAAACATACCACATTAAATAAATAACATACACTGCGTATTTTAAACTATTTCAGATTCAAATATTGTAGATCCATTTATTGTTAATCATTGTCATATCAGGCAGTGAAAAACAAGCCCACCCCGACTTCGTTCGTGTAGAAGCAGATGTTACCTGGACACGTTCCTCCTGCAGTGACACCACCTGCTGAAAGTGCTGAGGTTTAAAAGCTCCCTGCACTTATTGCCCCCAATAAACAGGAGTGCGAGGTGCAGGAGCTGCTTGCCCATTGACCCAGTGTTTCCACTCTCCTGCTGCTCAGTGTGAATCTGAAAGCAGGAGATAACACCAAACTTCTGAAAATTAATATACCTGTTAACAGGTAAAACATGGGATAGGAAGGATGATGGAGCACAGTTTGTCTTCTTCAGCAGCAGCCTGGTTTGCTGCAGTTACATACATTCCCAGTGGGACCAGTACTACCACTGTCCTCTGATGTCAGTGACTGGGTCAGACCCTGGACCTTTTGTTGCTGCCCAGGGAAAACCAGCTGTGGCCAAACTCAGATGTGGATCATTTGTTTCTCTTAGGGTTTAATGAAATGATCTCTCTCCTTAGGTTCATAATCAAAAGTCGGTGAGTTGTGTTTGTGTGACTGTTGTTTCCAATGCCTGAAACCGTTCTGAAAGCAACACTGTAAAATATAAGTTGCTGAGCTGGTTTATCTCAGAATGCTTCAGTGGTACATGAACAATTTCTGTAATGTTTCTGTGGCTTTTAGTGCAGCCTCTGTGGTACCCGGGGGCTGGCGATTGACTCCTGTTGTGTATTAGTTATTGTCTCCTTGAAGCCATTTGGCTATGCCACCAACCTGTCCACTCTTTAATATCATGAAATTATGTCACCTTTATTTTTACAAGCCACATCAGCCGAACATGCCAAAGCATCGATGATAACCTCTGAGGTCTGGTTTTTGTTGTGACAGCAAGTTAGAAGCAGCTGCAGCACAGACACTTAGGTCAGCGCCATCATGCTGTGCAGCTCAGACCTACTTAGCTCCTGACTAGAAAGCATCTACCTGCAGCTCGAGGAGTGTAAAGAGAGCCTGCATGCAGATACTTAATGATGACCCTTGGTTGAGTAGTCCTGCCCCTCCTCTCTCTCTTTGAAGAGCCTGGTAAAAGTGCTTCATAAATAAATTTGCTCTGATTTACGGTCCCGTATCTACTGGGCAGTAGAGGATGGCGTGATTTAAAAGTCATGTGGCGCTCCTCTTTAGATAAGCTCGGGCTGGACTGATGTGATTAGATGTCCTCTAATAGTGGGTCATTGATTACGATTGTTGTGTAATGTCACCGGCTGCCAGATTAAGCCAGAGGAGAAGCAGCCGAACTCGGACATTGCTCCTCAGGTACAGCTCTATCAGTGAAAATCACTGATGTCAGGGACTTCTGTGTGTCCTTGAGACAGAAAATTATTGTCAGTTTATTTCTTTAAGAGTGAAACAACAATGCACACAGTGTGAAACAAGGCTGTGTAAGGTCATTTACAATGACAGCACCGTCACCGTCTTCAGCTGGTTGTCGGTGCTTCAGGCCCAGTGTTTGAGTCAGATGTAGACAAAATGACAGATGTTGGTTTAGTCTGATTCACTGCTGAGATTTTCACAAGGTGGCAGTTGACTGGAAATGAGAAACAAGTCAGGGTTTTCTCTGTGTTTAGCACCAAAGCTGAATGTTGAAATCTGAATTTGTACCTGACGAGCAAACAGCATTTCTCTTCTTTATTAAAACTCATTGGGGAATTTTGTCCAACATGAAGTGAACCTAAAAACAGTGAATAGCCTCCAATGAGTGCTGCTAAAGGGCAAAAAAACGGTCTCATGTCAGTGCTAAGATACAGATGTTAAGCCAGTACTGCACAGTGTTTATCATGTCGATAGACTTCAGAATTCAGAGAGAAATACTGCACCTTGTACTCCACTGGATTAAAACAGTGATATAACACAATGAAAGGCTGTCATTCTTGTGCCTGTACTTTTACTTTTCATACTTTGCATACATTTTGAGGCCAATACTTCTATACTTAACGTCAGTATCAATGTCAGTTTATTCATAGAGCACCTTTCATACACAGTTAATCAGGAGCTTTGCATACTGCATAATGTAAAGCAGCTTCTCCCTCAGGTAGAATTCTGAAAGCAGGACATTTCAGGTGATGGATTTTTACTGTTGTTTTGTTACTTTTACCTCTTCTAACACAACTGTGGATTATTATTAATATTCATTTTCCAAACCACAAGCCCAAATAAACGAGGGAAGAACAAGCTTTAAACTCTTTATATGTTCATTATTTTTTCCATTTCCACTTTCCCGTGGTTATTGTCCGACCCCTGCAGCCTCACCTGTGAGTGTTTTCATAAACCCCTGTGGACAATCCTGCAGCAGGAGCCTTTGACTGTGCTTGATCTGACTTGAAGTGTTCCTCAGCGTTCTATGAAAGTGGCCGGTGTGTTTACACTTTGTTGGTTATTATGTGCTGTAAATGCTGAATCATAAACTTTCATCAGTTTCAAGAGGAGAAGAAAATGTAAATGAAAAAAGTTCAAGTGCCATAAAATTTTATTTTTAAACTTATTTCCATCTTGTAAAGTTTTCTTTCAGACACCAGCTGATGCAAAAGAAATGTTTATTTACCCCACTACAAGGCACTGGTTTTATTATGACAGGTCATTAACAAAATCACAAACACCAGATGTTGTTTACTCTGTGTTTCCTGTCAGTCTCTCAGGGGCATGGCTTGGCATCGGCCACAGGTTCACAGCGGTCCACCACCGCCCGCACTTCTCCAATCTCGACGCCATCGTACTTCCCAGAGATGGAAGTCCACTGGGTCTCTCCGTTGCGGTAGGTGCGGCTGAGGCGAGCCGTGTAGGGGATGTCGGCTTTGATCTTGCGCCCCTCCATGCGGACTTTGCAGGTGTGGTTCGGTGGGATGGTGAGTTCCACCGACACGGAGTGGCTAAGCGACTCCACCTTGGTGGTTCCCCTGTCAAACTGCAGGGTCTTCTCACCACTCAGCTCGATGCCCCCTGAGCCAACGAAGGGGATCTTGGCAGTGATGCTGCCTGCGATACCCAGCATGGTGCCTCGGCCAATGTTCCAGGTTTTCTCCACTTCTGTGGTCTTCGTGATGGTGACTGTCTTCACCACTGACTGGCATTCGTTGTTGGTGACCGCGGAGATGCGCATGGTCTCAGGAGGATACTGGAAGATTGCGACCTCATCGATGGCGTACTTGACATCAGTGATGTGCTGGGTGTAAGCGTCCCGGTTGATGGCCAGGACCTCATACTTCTTGTACCAGTACTCATCGCCTTCCCAAGGCAGGAAGAAGGCTTCGAACTGAGGAACAACCTTCCCGAGGCCGTACTTGTTCTTCCCAACGTAGATGCCAACGCCTGGGCAGGTCTTGACTGCATGCTGAGGCACTGACCCGTAGGAACCTTCCTGCCACTCCAAGAACTCAAAGTTGTCTTTGTTGGCCAGGATCTCAAACTCTGGGGCGTAGTACTCACGGTCTCCGTAAGGGTAGCGGCAGTACGGGCCCAGGTTCGGGTTGTAGAAGCCAGCCTCACACTTGTACTTGCAGACGTAGTCGGTGCGTTTGGTGTAACCATTGTAGATGGAGACAGCACCGTTGGGCAGAGAGCCATCCCAGGTCAGCCACTCCAGGTTAACGTTGCCGCCAAACATGAAGGAGGACGGCAGATCCTCCTGTTGCTCCAGGTCAGCAGGAGTCAGAGGACCCGATGCCACGGCGTTACCACCTAGCTCAGGGACCAAGCCCTCCAGCTCTGGGTTCAGTAAGGAAGCTGTGGAAAAGACAGAGTTCATAGTTTGTAGTTTATTAAACCAAACTATAAAAATCTATAAACTATAAGAAAACACTACAAAGCACGAGGCTTACAAGTAAAAAGGAAGCAAACAGAGAACAACAGTTCAGTACATGTTACTCTGTGATAAAACTGAAAACTAGACTGAAACCAGGAAGAAGACTGTCTGTAGAGTCTGGAAAGCATCCGCACCCGAATCAGCTTAGTCTACCCAGTGAACAACGGGATTTATGAGGCAACTCTGGTAAATATTTATATGTGGATGTGACTTAATGCTTCGTCAAACAACCAAGCCTCGTTAGGAACCACTAGAAGAACTTTGTCTTTCAATGATCAACCCTGTGTGGACAAACTGGGACAATCTTCGGTGCATAATTCTGCTTCCAGAGCAGGGAGGATGTTTATTTTGAAAATCAGAAGTGAACATCAGTAACTAGTGCACTTGTCCGACTCTCTGTCACTGTAAAACCAATGTCTTTCTTAAGCTCACTGATGTAAGACTGTATCACGATAGAACAACAGAAGATAAACTGTGCACTGGCTCTGTTTGGTAGAATGGGGAGAAACTAGAAGAACCTTGACTTAAATGAAGAACGACACCGTAGGACATTTTTACTCTGTAGAAGAAAACTGAAGTTCTCTGTTAAGGAGATGTTTACCTTTCCTGGGCTGTGAGCTCTTCTGGACAATGTCCTTCAGCCCGGCCGAGGCCAGCGCAAGCAAAGCTGACAGCAGCAACACAGACAGCTTCATCTGGACAGCAAACACAAAAGGACATCGTTAAACACAACCTGTGAAATCACTTTATCTGGTCCTAACATTTGACACATTTAAAAACACAACGGTTAACAACATCTCCTCCATTTTGCCCTGAAATATTAACACCGCTGTCGACAGTAGAGGATTCTTCCAGCCATTCCTTTGGGCTGAAAACTGGGGACACCCAAACATCCAACAGGTCCAAATCCTTTTGCACACAGTTAGTTTCTGTAACTGTGAGTTTGATCTCTGTCTTTCAGCAGGTTACACATGTTCTCCAGCTTTTATCTCTGTTGCTCAAAACATCAGCGGACATCAGGTTCAATCAGTGCAAAACTCTGAATTATTAAAATGTTAAGTTTATTTGCACTTGTGACGTATATACATCTAACTTCTTAAAACATTTTTTTATCTTTCATAATTTTTATGTGACTCTTTTTAATCATCAGACGTTTGCGAGCCATGTTGTATTTCACTCCAGATATTTGTGGTGCATGTGAGAAATGAATCTTTGAATATTATAACAATACACAATGACAATAATAACTTAAGTTGGAGTCGGTGTCACCTTTCTTTCTTAGTTCAATTAAAATGAGTAATTATATCAAACCCAGAGGGTCATTGAAGACATATGTAGCAGAGTCAGAGACTGTAATTAAATACGTTAAAATACTGTTTTAGATAATTAGTATATAGTAATGTATTTTGATAGTTAGTATTTATAATTAACCATACTGGAGATACTGAAATAGCAGACTTTGATTTTACATTTGATAAAGTTTTTACTTGTCACATCTTTACAAATCAAACATTTGAAATATTAAATTACATTGAAAATAGCTTTTGAAGGAAACTATAACATTTGAATATTAGATTATTGACACTTGATCGTGTTTGCTCCTGATTGTGCTGAGTCTGATTAACTGAAGGTGATAAGAGACTGAACAAGACTCACCTTTACAGTTGCTCCCCACTGAGCCGACCTCCCGTCACTTGAGGGTTTATATAGCTGCTTTATGGCTCCGTCATAAACCCGACTGTGCACTTTCCCTCTGACTGGGATCTGACTTTGACCAGTAAATCAGCTGGTAGTTCTCCCATGTTTCTCTCGTTCACCAAAATGCTTTAACGGATTTCCATTAGTCTGATGTTCACTGACAGTTTTTAAGCTTTCCCTCTGTGAGTTGGAGGCCTGAAATATATGGGCTGGATTTTTTCTATATATACAACACAGCACCACAAAACTGATAGATATGTTCAAACTCAGAGAGGACATTTTTAGTGGGTGCTATTAGCTTTAGATTTATAAATAAAACAGTGAGTGTGTCTTTAAAATAATAGGCCTGTGGTAGAAGGGTCGTTGGGTTTGACCCCCAAATAAGTTTGGAATATGACAGCTGGTGTTGGGGAGTGACTGAAAGCTAGAGCTGCTCCTGGAGCTCACAGAAATTTACCCTAGTGGTCAATTCTACTGATCAGCTGTTTCTGTAGTGATGGAAGATGAACTATATTTGCGGCTTCCTCTGCTTTGCAGCAGCCGTGCAGTTGTTTTCATGCTGATCTCTCAAGCCAGTATAAAACCAATGCAGATAAATCTAGGATAAGGTTCAGGATTAATAACATGATAACTGACTTATCAGTCACCTCTGTCCTCCAAACTATCAGGCTGTATTAGTGACCTTGGTCGTATCAGCGCCGCTCAGACGTCACCTGACCTGCTATGGACCATCACAGCTCCCAGAATGTTCAGTTTGGTTTGTTACAAATGCTGATAGTTACATTGAAAATGTGGGTTTTCAGTTCAGTAATATAGTTTTGAAAACAAAAACTTTGATTAAAAAGAAGACATGAAATTACAACAAACTAAAGATGAAAAATGAAGTAAAATTTATAGTAAATTGTGCACATTTTATTTTATTATGTCATTATGTCATATGTCATTATTATATTGTTAGCATCACACATATGTAAATGTGTCATGTTACACGACTGTTACATAAATAACTTTTCAGAAATGTTTTGCCCTGTTGCTTGGTTTTGTTTCTTAGAAGATCCAAAAGCAGCACAGACGTCTGGCGTTTTCTCCTCTGATTTGGCCTGAGCCCCACTGGAGTTTATGCATCTGTGTCCCTTTCTCTCTTCACTGTCTGGAGCCTTTGAGCGCTTTCAACTAGAACTCACGGTCTTCCTCAGCTGACTGAGTTTGCTGAGCTGTCAGAGCAATGGCTCAGGTGTCATCATGTCGTGTCTGTCCCTCACATACAGCATACTGTACATTGTTTTTGTTTGTTTTTATAGTAACAATAAAATTTTACTTCCCACAATAAATACAAATCTGGTTATTTGCAATGTACATACATGCACACACACACCAGTTTAGGCAAAATGATCTTTAACAGTGTTTATCAATAAAACTCATTTTGATTCAATTTTCAATTCAGTTTTATTCATATAGCAACAAATCACAACAGTCGTCTTCTCAGGACACTTTACAAACTAAGGTCTAGACCTTATTATTATTATTATTATAGAGAACCCAACAAACCCCCTTGAGCAGCACTTGGTGACAGAGGGGACGAAACTTCCGACCCCGGCTCTTGGTGGGTGGCCTTCTGCCTCGACCAGTTGGGGTGAGTGGATAGAGGAAAGAGAAAAGAAAAGCAATATGTCACGTGTACAGAAGCTGAACTAAAAAGGCCATTTATTATGTTCGTTGTTGTAATATATTTAATATTTTACAGTACATTAAATTAAAAGTGACTATATTGTGTATTGCTGCACTGCTGTGTGAGGCAGTGAGCTGGGGCCTCTCCTGGTGTCTGCGCTGTGGTGAGAAACCAGTGATCCTTCAACGCCCCCTGCTGGAGTGACCACCTATTACAGCTCCAGACTTATTTCTCTGGGTATATTTCATTGCTGAGAATTTTAAAGGGGCGGATTCTGCTCTTCACATGTTATCACAGCTCTGGTGGGGATGTAGTAAATGGCTGAACTTCAGACCAGCTCTCCCCGTAGCTGTGGATCAGACCTGCACAATGTCCAGGAAGAGTTCTGAGCCGCTCTTTTTTTTTTCTCAGGATGTCTGGTGTGAACGCTCTCTGAGCTCTGGAAGGTGGATTTTCTGTGGCAGATTTACTTTAATGTCCTGATGCTTTCATGTTGGTGTGCAGTGGCCTTCTTACACCACACACACAGCGCTGCTCGTTCTTCCCAAACCAGACAACCTTAGTCCCCTCAGTCCACTAAACATTTTCCCAGCAGTGTTAGCAGGTGTGGCTCCATGCACCGTGATTTACATATGAAGAAAGATGTTAATCAGCTCCTGTGATTCCTGTCTTCAGCTGTTATGAGATTCTTTTAACCTCACTGATCACTCTGCATTGTGTCTGTGGACTCATCATCACAGTCCTCTCTGTTTATAGACAGATTGTCTGTGGACTGATGAATACATTATTCAATTTGGTGGTAACCAAATAGGACAAGTACAGACTTCAGTGGACAGTCAGGACTGCAGAAAAGATCATTGGTGTGAGCCTGCCCTCCATGGAGGACCTGTACACCGCACGGGTCAAAAGGAGAGTGGAGAGGATCACTGCAGACCCCTCACACCCCGGATACAATCTGTTTGAACTCCTCCCCTCTGGACGGCGTTACAGGTCACTGTGCACTAAGACAACCAGGCACAGGCACAGTTTCTTCCCCCAGGCTGTCACTTTGATGAACACGTAACCCACGACAGTATGATTAGACAATAACCCTCAGTGCAATACCTGTAAATATACCTCGTACAGATTATACAGATCCCTACAGGTCTCTATTTTAAGGACTCTGTTTTTATTCCAATTTATCTCACTTCACAATGAGCATTCCTTTGTCTGTCTGCACTGTTTACTGTCTGTTTAAACTGTTTATTTTGCATTGTTTGTTGCTGTTAATACTGCTTATTTTGTTATATTACACAGCCGCATGCTGCTTTACTGTTTACTTGCACCTTGCATGGGGATATGTACATGCACATTGAGAGCCGATGTACCAGAGTCAAATTCCTCGTGTGTCCGACACACCTGGCCATAAAACAGATTTTGATTCTAATTTTGTTGTTGCGTTTTCTCTCAAGATTTAAAGCGACTCCCTCATCCCCCCTCTATCGTCATATCACTGTTTTTGCACTCTGCATTTTGTGTAAAAACAATGTTTGTCCTTGTCCCATTTAAAGTGACAGCAAAAGACAAAAAAAAATCAGCGACGTGATCAAATACTAATGGCAGCTTGTGTTTCACTTTGGTCTTACAGCTGCAAACAGCGGCTGAGGACAGAACATCACCACCAGCTTCATCTGCAGATGAAACAAAATCACTATTAGCTACTTTGTAACACTGAACCAACCTTGACATCCAACCTGGAAATCATCATTTTAAGTCGTGTTGATAATAATAAACAGCTTGCACAAATTAACTTTTTACTACTAACCTACATCAACTACTAATCATTTTCAAATTACATTAAAAAGTGGTTAAAATGCATGAGAAGCACTCACTATCAGTTATAAACCAGTCCACCTGTCTGTCTTACATAATCCAGCTGCCTTATCAGCAAATCAAAGCAAATATTTCCTCTCATTTTGTTTGTGCTCAGACTTTGACCAGTCAACACTGAAGTAGAAATGGGAGTCACTCATCTGACTTTTGAAAAATACAGATTACTGTCGTGGCTAGAATGTGATACAGACTAAATTAATTCAGACAAATCATCCCAATTTAAATGATCATTTAATATTACAATTATTCTGAGCAGAGTAGTAGTTAAACAGGTAATCTGGTAGTTCAGGAAACAGAGAACAGAATCACTCCTCCTGCACTGTGATAGATAAAGTATTAAATAAGAAGACTGTCAGAAACGCTGGTCAGTCCAGAGTCAGTCTGTCAACCCACAGTCAGCCTTTCCCCCGGCCAGGTCTAAGCTCACTTTTCACGGTAGCATTCTCATCCTCTCTCCTTCCTTTCCACTAACCCAGCTATCCTAGCCTTTTATCTGCTCGCAGTTACACAGCCTTCCATGGCCGGAGCCAGAGGCGCAGTCTCATGCCAGCTCCACACACCTTCTTCCGAGCATTGTTTAAGATGTCAAGTACATGAACTTCTAGGTCGCATTGACCTAGCGCACATTTCCTTTTTCTAAACCTGAACAGAGCACACGAACAGTTCACATAAGGCTGCAGCTATATCCATTCCCCATTTAAGGAGGAAGTCGCTCTGGATGTTTACCCATAAATTAAACAAGGGGGACACAGCCCAAGATATTCTTGCTTGAGCAAGAAAAGAGAACCAGATCAAGCTTACATAAACACTTAGCTCACCCTTACACCCTTACACAACTATTACAAATACTATCTATATATGAACTACATACTCTTCTATTACATACTACCTCTGGCCTGGTACCTTGTTTATTTTTAACCACTACTTTACAAAAATTTCAAACCTGCATTAATATTATTATTTGAACCATTGTATCTATATGAAAGCAAACCAGTGCAGTTTCATCAGGAAACCTTTTTGTCTCTGGCAAATTAAGGGTGAATTCACAATCCTAATGTTCAGTTAGTGACACTGGGCTCACTATTGAACTTTAAGACACAAGGCTGGACCTTTTTTAAATCCCCTTGTTAGTTCTAAAATGGAGAATAAATCAGCTAACAGCAGTGAAACCTGGGCTGCAGCCAAGGTCCTCACCAGCAGGGGACCTCAGTGAGCCACAAGAATGGATGTATAAAATTTCTGCTATTTTTGCTTCCACATCAGTGAGGAAAAAAAAACCCTGGTTTTTGAGACTTGGAATGTCACCTCACTTGTGGGGAAGGAGGCTGAGCTGGTGCAGGAGGTTGAGAGATACCATCTAGATATAGTCAGGCTCACTTCCACTCACAGCTTGGGTTCTGGAACCACTCTTCTCGACAAAGGGAGGACCCTCCTCTAATCTGGCGTTGGTCATGGTGAGAGGCGATGGGCCGGTGTGGGCTTGCTTATAGCCCCCCAGCTCACTCGTCAGGTGTTGGAGTCTACCCCGGTGAATGAGAGGGTCATTTTCGTGCGTCGTCAGGTCGGGGAGCAGTCTCTCACTGTTGTTTGTGTTTACGCACCTAATGGCAGTGTAGAGTACTCAGCCTTTTTAGGGTCCCTGGGAGGCATGTTGGAAAACGCTCCCATGGGGGACTCTGTCATTCTACTGGGGGACTTTAACATCCACGTGGGCAACGACAGTGATACCTGGAGGGGCGTGATTGGGAGGAACAGCCTCCCTGATCTGAACCCAAGTGGTGAGTTGTTATTGGATTTCTGTGCTTGTCATTGTTATGTACTCACCCCTTTTCTTGGTGGGTAGTACTAACTAATAAAGAAGACACAGAGACGGGTGCATGGCTCACAGGCCAGTCCCATGGGTGTAATGGTGCCAGTTGTGGGAGATTCCTCAGTTTTTGGCAGGCAGGACATGATTTTGCTTTCTCTTCAATAGCTGCATCTAACCCCGGCCACCAGAAGTAGCTACGAGCAATCTCCTCCATTCGCACCACTCCACAGTGTCCACAGTGGAGTCCTTCTAGCACCTTGTCTCTCAGAGGTGGTGGGATAATGACGCGATTACCCCACAGCAAGCAACCTGCCTGAACTGTAAGTTCATTTCTTCTCACCATGTAGGGTTTCAATTCTGCTGTCATTTCTCCCCTCCTTCCATGAGAAATGATTTCCATCACCTCCGACATGACTGGGTCAGTGCTCGTGTTTTTCTTTACATCAACTGCTTTCGCACCACTCCACAGTGTCCACAGTGGAGTCCTTCTAGCACCTTGTCTCTCAGAGGTGGTGGGATAATGACGCGATTACCCCACAGCAAGCAACCTGCCTGAACTGTAAGTTCATTTCTTCTCACCATGTAGGGTTTCAATTCTGCTGTCATTTCTCCCCTCCTTCCATGAGAAATGATTTCCATCACCTCCGACATGACTGGGTCAGTGCTCGTGTTTTTCTTTACATCAACTGCTGTCAAAGGAACAGAAGGAACGTCTTTGAAATAAAGGATTTCTTCTTGTTTTGACTCATGATGGGTGATTGGCAGCGGAAGTCTTGAGAGTCCATCAGCGTTCCCATGATGTTTTGAGCGTCGGTACTTGATGTCATATTGGTGAGCTGACAAGAGCAGAGCCCATCGCTGCATACGACTGGCAGCAAGCGAGGGAATGCCTGATTGGGGGCCCAATATAGAGGTCAACGGTCGGTGGTCCGTCAGTAGTGTAAATTTTCTCCCAAACAGATATTGGTGGAACTTCTTCACACCAAACACTATTGACAGGGCTTCTCGTTCTATCTGAGCATAATTGCTTTCTGCTTTGCTCAGCATTCATGATGCAAAGGCAATCGGTTTCTCCTCCGCTGATGGCATGATGTGTGACACAACAGCACTGACCCCGTATGGTGAAGCATCATATGCCAACTGAAGTGGCATTGCGGGGTCAAAATGCGTCAGGGCGTTAGATGTGGAGAGAGCCATTTTCACTTATGTGAATGCTGATTCACATTTTTCTGTCCATTTCCATGGATGAGACTTGTTCAGCAACGTATGAAATGGTTTTAGCATGTTAGTGAGGTTGGGTACAAACCTAGCATAATAAGTCAGTAAACCCAGGAACGATCTCAGCTGACTGATGTTCTTCGGAGATGGAGCTTCCACTATAGCCTTTACCTTTGAAGGTGCCTTGTGGAGTCCGTCACCGTCGATCACATGCCCCAAATATTCCACAGAAGATTTAAAGAATTCACATTTGTCTTTCCGGACTTTCAAACCATACTCCTCCAGCCGCTGTAATGTGGCATCCAAATTTCTTAAGTGTGATGTCTCATCTGAGCCTGTGATGAGCAAGTCATCCAAGTAGCACTGGACCCCTGGTAATCCACTTAAGATCTGTGTTAGATCTGCTCGGACACAGAGGTGAGCGAGCAAAAAAAGGACGGACCCAGGTGGCTGACTTCAGTGCAAGTAGTGCTCGGTTTATTTACAGTGATATCAACAAGGAAGTGAATAACCAGGTTGAAGTGGGACCGGGTGTCGAGCCGCAGAAGGTGAATAACAGTCAGTGGTGGAATGATGAGGGAAAGGCCGAGCTGCGGACGCTGGGACTCACACCTGGGCTGGTCGTGGTGGAAGGTTGCTGAGGAGACAGAGTTAGTACATGCAGTTAATGGGAGACTGTGCATCGACCTGCGTGGTGGAGATGGTGCGGGGTTGAGGAGGTCCGTGGTCCGGAGAAGCGACAGAGGCGAGGAGGCTGAGACAATGGGGCACAAGACTGGAACGGGGCTAGGGCGACAAAAATGTGAGTACAGTATAAAGCTAAGAAACAACGAGAAACAAACGGGCCTGATGATACTAGAAAGAACTGGCAGGGGAGTGAACGTAGAGCAGGGAATAAATAGGGAGAACTAATCAGGTGCAGCTGGTGGTAATAAGAAGCAGGTGTGTCGGATAACGTAAGCAAGGTAAGGGAGCAAAAACAGAGTGAGGGGAGTGAGAAAGGCAGGTGCAGCCGGGCAAACCTGACAATCTGGTCCATTGCTTTTTGGAAAAGTGTGGGGGCAGATGTGATTCCGAAAGGAAGCCCTCTGTATCTGTACAGTCCTTGTGTGTCACAATGGTTAACAGCTCTTGTGAATTTTTATCCACATGCATTTGGAGGTATGCCTGGCATAAGTCTATTTTACTGAATTTCTGTCCTCCAGCCAGACCTGCGAATAGGTCATCAATGAGCGGTAATGGGTATTGTTCTGTGACCAAAACAGGGTTCACCGTTACTTTAAAGTCCCCACAAATTCTTGGCGTGCCATTCTTTTTCATGACTGGGACAATTGATGTAGCCCACTCACTTGTCGTCACAGGTTCCAACACTCCACTCTTTAACAATTTGTCAAGTTCTGCCTCCACTTTTGGTCTTATGCCATATGGGACCAGTCTTGCTTTTAAACACTTTGGCATACTCTCTGGTTTCACTGCCACTTTTGCCATAATGTCCTTCATACTGCCAAGTTCACCATCAAAAAGTTTTGAGTGTTTGTTTAAAGTTTCCTGCAGTGGATCACTGTTTCTAGCTTTAAGCAGGTATACTTCTTGCCAGTTCAGTCTCAGTTCTTTTAACCAGCCACGTTCTACCAAGGCAGGGTGTTTCCCTGTAACAATATACAGCGGCAAAGTCTTTGTTTGGTTGTGGTGCTCCTCTTTTACATTCACCCTTCCTAACACTGGAACAGGCTGACCAGTGTAGGTCTTTAACTTCAGCTTAGTTGGTTGCAAAGGAAGGTGTTGCAATTTTTCTTCATAGATGACCCTTGAGACCAGTGATACACATGTGCCAGTGTCCACTTGCATCCTCACCATTTTGTTCTCCAACAATGGCGTAATCCAATATACATCATCACAATCCGTGACAGACAGTACATGTACAGCCTCCTCATCCGAATTGTCACTCTCTTCAGTCTGTTCGTGCTGTATCTTGGGTTGAGGTACTTAGCTGTTGTGCTTCACGTGCAGCCATTTCCAGTGAGTAGCCGTTTTTGCATAGCCTCACTGTGTAGCCCACACACCAGTCTATCTCGAATGGTGTCGTTCAAAGCTTGTCCAAAATCACAATGTTCTGATAACTGCTTGAGAACAGCTACAAACCTTAACACTGATTCCCCCTCTTCTTGGTTCCTTTTATGGAATCTGAACCTCTCAGCTATTATCAGTAGGAGCGTAGTGATTTCCAAGAATTGTCATAACACTCAAAAACGTAGCCACAACCACCTCTGCTTTAATACGATTTGTGAGCATAAAATACTCAAACCTCTCTGTGTAAGCACACCATTGCTCGGAGAGTTCGTCAAATGGTCCAATATTTCCCACCAGATGAGCCATCTTAAGGTAGCAGTAATTTGTCCTACTGTTTTCGACGAGTTCTCGCGCTCCGGTTATGCCACTGCACTCAGCAGCCGCTCCGTGTCGATGCTCCTTTAGCCGCAATAAGCCGTTAGCACAGCACGCGCAGCATACCACCACAAAAAAAACTTGTCAGGCCAACACATCTCCCAAAACAAACACGATGTACGGGCACATTATCCTCGTCACCAGTTTTTTTTATGTACTCACCCCTTTTTTCTTGGTGGGTAGTACTAACTAATAAAGAAGACACAGAGACGGGTGCAACTTGTGTGCTCTTCAGAACAGAAAAACAAAACTGCAGTGTACAGCGTCACTAAGAAGTGTTCCTTCCTCAACAGGAAATAATATCATACCCTTTTCACAATAAATCTAACTACTCAGAAATGTCAAAACATAACAGTCATGGTTTATCCATAACAAACACCATCTTCAAACATAGGGGTGTCCATCAGTGCACATGTCACCAGGACACTCTAGATCGGAGGTCGGAAGTCGATGATTGACTTTGTAGTCATTTCCTCTGATCTCTGGCCATATGTTTTGGAAACTCGGGTGAAGAGAGGGGCTGAGCTGTCAAATGATCACCACCTGGTGGTGAGTTGGATTCGATGGCGGGGGGGGAAAGCTGGACAGACCTGGCAGGCCTAAGTGCATAGTGAGGGTCTGTTGGGAACGTCTGGCGGAGGCCCTGGTCAGAGAGGTCTTTAACTCCCACCTCTGACAGAGCTTCAAACAGGTGCCAAGGGAGACTGGGGACATTGAGTCCAAATGGACTATGTTCCCCCACTCCGTTGTCGGGGCAGCTGCTGGGAGCTGTGGCCGTAAGGTCTCCGGGGCCTGTCGTGGCGGCAATCCCTGAACATCATGGTGGTCACCACAAGTAAGGGATGCCGTCAAGCTGAAGAAGGAGCTCTATTGGGCCTGGTTGGCTCATGGGACTCCTGAAGCAGCTGGCAGGTACCAACAGGTCAAGCGGGACACAGCCCTGGCAGTCGCCATGGCAAAAACTCAGGCCTGTGAGGAGTTCGGTGAGGGCATGTAGGAAGACTTTCAGCTGGCTTTAAAGAGATTCTGGAGAACTGTCCGGCGGCTCAGGAGGGGTAAGCAGTGTTCTGCCAACACTGTTTACAGTGGAGGTGGTGTGTTGCTGACCTCAACTGAGGATGTCATCAGCAGGTGGAAGGAGTACTTTGAAGATAATAATAATAATACTTTATATAGCACTTTACAACTCAAAAAAGGAGCACAAAGTGCTTCACAATAAACATGCATACCATAGCAAACCTTAAAAACAACAAGAAATAACATATCAAAAAGGTGGATAATAAAACAGCAAAAGAAAAGATACCCCTAAAAAACTGGGTTAGTTGTCAAAAGCCCGTCTAAAAAGGTAAGTTTTTAGAGTTACCTTAAAAGGGGCCAACTCAGTTATGGACCATATTTCTGGAGGTAATGAGTTCCAGAGCCTAGGGCCATAGCTGCTAAAAGAGCGATTGCCCCATTTTTTGTAGCAAGAGCGGGGGGTGACTAGGGATAGGCGGACTGCAGAGTGCAAGGCTCTATGGGGAGAGTAGACAGACACAAGCTCCGATAGGTATAAGGGGGCGAGACCATTGATAGACTTAAAGACAAATAAGAGTACTTTAAAATCAACTCTAAATTTCACTGGTAGCCAATGGAATGAGGAGAGAACAGGAGTGATGTGAGCATGTCTGGGATCTAACCCCGGCCACAGCATTTTGTACAAGTTGTAGCTTCTGAAGGAGAGATTGCGAGATACTGACGTAAAGGGCATTGCAGTAGTCAAGTCTGGATGTAATAAAAGCATGAATAGCTTTTTCTAACTCTGCATGAGATAAGAAGGGCTTCACTTTTGCTAGCATCCTCAAATGAAAGAAGGTAGTTTTGACTACAGAGTGGATCTGTTTATCAAAATTAAAACTGCTGTCAAATATTACTCCGAGGTTTTTAACAGTATCAGTGACTGAAGGAGCCAAGGCACCTAGTTTGGGTATCTGGGTGGACAAATCTGGACTGAAAGCAATGTACTTGGTCTTGCTCTTGTTTAAGTGAAGAAAATTTTGTGCTAGCCAGTGTTTGATGTCAGAAATACAGTTATGAAGGGGAGTGAGAGCATTGGAGTCACATTGAATCAGAGGCATATAAATCTGGACATCCATCCATCCATCCATTTTCCTCCGCTTATTCGGAACCGGGTCACGGGGGCAGCAGTCTAAGCAAAGACGCCCAGACTGCAGACACTTCC